AGGGAGAGAGAAGGGAAAATGCATGGAAATGGAAGGAGACCCTCAGGGTTATACAAAATTTCATACAAGAGGAAGTGAGGGGAAAGGGGAAAATAATACAAGGGGGAGAAATGAATGACAGTAGAGGGGGTAGAGAGAGAAGAGGGGAGGGGAGGGGAGGGGGGATAGTAGAGGATAGGAAAGGCAGCAGAATACAACAGACACTAGTATGGCAATATGTAAATCAATGGATGTGTAACTGATGTGATTCTGCAATTTGTATACGGGGTAAAAATGGGAGTTCATAACCCACTTGAATCAAAGTGTGAAATATGATATATCAAGAACTATGTAATGTTTTGAACAACCAACAATAAAAAATAAAAAAAAACTATTAAGTACAAATTCCAGAAAGAATACAGAGAGCTGTGGACTCAGTTTTCACAGTTCGAAGAATTTCATAACTACAAAAAAGTAGAGTTTATGCCAGTTTGTTTTAGTCAGAACCATTCTGTGCATCAAGTGTTTCATCTTAATGTGATTGTCTAGTGTGAATAAAAAAAAAACAGTAAACATTTTGATAATAACTAAAAACTGCTGAGTTGTATACCTGATAGGCAGTCAGAAGAGAACAATTAGGGAAAGGACATCAGTAAAGGGAGCAGATAGGAAATAGTAAAGAACAGACACATAAATACAAAGGCTTCATGTGTGACTCCGCCTTTAGGCTGGAAAGGTGAGTAGGATCTTAAAAAGGAAGTTAGTTAATATGATTAATACAGAGTGATTTAAAGGTAATTTTGTACCCTCAAGGACTGGTTAAATTGAACACAGAATTTAAAAAGAAACATAAACCAGAAAGTCAAAGAAAAAGTAGAAAATGATCTGGCAGACTAAACTCATTAAGTCTTGATGGGAAAATGTCCAAACTTGGAAAAAGGCTATGGGAAACTCTTAATCTAGGGGATTAAAAAGTGACCTAAAGAAGGGCTGGGATTGTGGCTCAGAGGTAGAGTGTTTGTTTAGCATGCATGAGGCACTGGGTTCCATCCTTAGCACCACATAAAGTAAAATAAAGACATTGTGTCCACCTATAACTAAATAATTTTTAACAAATATTTTAAGAAAGTGAATTAAGGAAACATTTCTTAGAAGACTAACCTATATGGAAAAACATTTTTTTTCCTCTTATATTTGGTGTTACATTGGAAGTAAGTAAAATTCAGGGGAGCCCCCAAGCTGATAAAATGACCAGGCAAGCAATGGCTTACTGCTAGTTCTTAAAGCAATTCTCAAAGTGAAGGTATGTGTATATGTGCTTGTGTATGTGTACCTAAATTGACATAACCATAGAAGGTGGGATAGAACTTACAGTCTGAAATATAGACTAATTGATTTCTTACTGACACAGAAAACATCAGCATTCTTCAGAGACTTACAACAGGACCCACAGTCTACAATATATAACATCTACATTGTCCAGGATGCAAGCAAAATCTCTAAACATACAACCAACCAGGACAAAGTGACCAATTATCAAAGGAGGAAAAAAAATCAACAAATGCCAATCTCCAGAGATAATTATCAAAGACTTTAAAATAGTTTTCTCTCTGCATTATGAGGTTACAAGAAAAATGTTATAAGAAAAAATATTTAAGTGAATGGAGGAATAGAAATCCTCAACAGAGAAATAAAAATGTATAAAGGAAGCAAATGAAAATTGTTGAAATTAAAATACAGTATCTGAAGTGAAAAAAATCACCAGATGGACTCAATATGAGAACGGACATGAAAAAGAAAAGGATCAATAAACTCGAAGGCAGAACAGTGCAAATTATCCAATCTACAAACAGAGATAAAGGAGAATCACATCCCAACATACCACAGGCTACATGTGACAAATCCACAGCCGACATTATATTGAATGGGGAAAAGCTGAAAGCATTTCCTTTAAGACTTGGAACAAGATAAGTGTGTACAATAATGGACATAACTTTTATTCAAAATAGTATTGAACGTTTTAGCCAGAGCAATTAAGCAAGAAAAAGAAACAAAAGGCATACAAATAGGAAGCGATGGAGTCAAATTATTCCTGTTTGCTGATGATATGATTCTATAGGCAGAAAAAAATGAAACTCCACCAAAAGACTTTTAGAACTGGGAAACAAATTTAGTAATGTTGCAGGATACACAAACAACATAAAAATCAGTAGCATTTTTTAAATGGCAATAAAAAGATTTCTAAGAAATCAACAAAGCAATCCTATTCAAAATACCCTAGGAATAAATTTAACCAAGGAAATGAAAGATCTCTCCAATGAAAATGAAAACACTGATGAAGGAAATTGAACACACACACACAGACACACAAATGGAAGGCTCTCCCATTTTCATGGATTGGAAGAATTGTTAAAATCTACATACTACCCTAAGTAATTTACAGATTCAATGCAATCCACACCAAAATGCCAAGAAAGTCTTCTACAGAACTAGATTTAAATAATCCTAAAATTCATAGAGCCACAAAGGACACCAAATAGTCCATGTAATCTTGAACAAAAAGAATAAAACTAGAGGCATCAATATTTGATTTCAAGATATACTACAGAGCCACAGTAAACAAAACAACATGATATTGGCATAAAAATGGACAGAGACCAATGGGACAGAATAGAGGTCCTAAAATAAACTTATCATATCCAACTGACTCTCTACAAAGATGCCAAAAACATACAATGCAGAAGGACAGACTCTTTAATAAGTGGTATTGGAATAACTGGATATCCTCCTGTAAAAAATAGAAACTTGACCACTATTTCTCACACTGTAGAAAATCAACTCAAAATGGATCAAAGATCTAAATGTAATACCTGAAACCATGAAACTACTAGAAGAAAACATAGGGGAAACACTTTGAGATGTTGGCATTGGCAATGGCTTTTTGGATATGACCCCAAAAGCACAGGAAACAAAAGAGAAAACAGACAAGTGAGATTATTTTTCCTTTCCTTTTCTTTTTAAAAAATGCTTTTATTAGTACAGTATAGTTATACATTATAGTGGGGTTCATTTGGCATAATCATACATGCATAAAATATAATTTGCTTCATTTCAGTCCCCAGGACTTTCTCTTTCCCTCCCCTCCCTCCTCCTCTGTTCCCCTTCCACTACTCTACTGATCTTCCTTCTATTTATTTATTTATTTAAATTGGTGTTTCATTCATATACATAAAGGTGAAATTCACTATGGTATATGCATATATGTATACAGCATTGTTTGGTCAACTTCATTCCACAGTTCCTCCCTTTTCCTGCCCCTACTCCCTTCCCCTCTCATCCTCTTCCTTTACTCCACTGATCTCCCTTCTATTTTCATAGGATACGCTCTCCTTTTTTATTTCCCCCTTATTTTGCTCTAGCTTCTACATATCAGAGAAAAAAATTTACTCCTTAGCTGAGTCTGGCTTATTTCACAAAGCTTGATGTTCTCCAATTTTATCCATTTATCATCAAATGCTATAATTTCATTCTTCCCTGAGTAAAACCTCATTTTAAAAATCCATTAATCTATCTGGTCCCTTGATGGTTTTACTTGGATATTGTCAATTGTGCTGCTAAAAACATTAATGAGCCTATATCACTACATTTTGCTGATTTTATTTCTTTGGATATACACCAAGCCATAGGATGGAGGTTTAATCCAAAGAGATTGTTTTAATCTGCAATCTCTACCAACAATACCTTGTCCCTCACACTGTCACCAACATTTATTACTTCTGTTGTTGAGGACTGGCATTCTAACTGGAGTGAGATGAAATCTCAATATGGTTTTGATTTGCAGTCCCTGATTGCTAGGGATGTCGAATATTTTTTCATGTATTCGTTGGCCATTTGTATTTGTTGTTTTGAGAAATGCTTTATTTTGCCCATTTACTAATTGGGTTATTCGGGGGGTGGTGTTGGTGTTTTGAGTTCTTTATATATTCTGGATAGTAATCTCCTGTAGGAGAAGTAGCTGGCAAAGACATTCTCAGATGAAAATGACTAATGGTCATTTCTCTGTGCCCATCCCATTGTTCAAGAAAGTCGGCTACATGCAGCAGCAGAGGGGTAACGAGTCAGAGAGCTCTGAGAGAGAGTGACAGCAGCGCTGGGCTCAGCTCTGACCAGGTCATCAGGAGGCTGCACATTCGGGTCACAAGGTTCAGGAGTCTCCACAGTGAGCACGTGTTGGCGCGCGGCCCTCCGCACCCCCACAGGAATGGCCCTGCACAGGGGCCCGCCTCCACCGCTACTGGGAGTCGGCTTTCCTGGAATCTGGGAGGAATCTTCGGATCTGCTGGTCCTGGTAGGTTAGTAGTTCTCAGCCCTTCTCATCAGTGCAGCTGGGAAAATACGTGCAAGGTTCTTCAGAGCCACACCTCCTCGGCTGACGCGCTGAGGCCAAAACCTGAGGCCGCGTAGGAGGCGTGGCGTTTCTTGCTCCTCAGGCTGTTTGCCCAGGCAAGCCGGCAAAAGTTCCGCAGTGAGCAGAACGCTGCTAACACGTGGAAGGTAGTTGCGAGGCGGTCCGAAAACTGTGGGGAGGGGGTCGGGGGCGTGGCCTGCCTGCGGGGAGAATAGTGGTTGGTTGAGTGGGTGGGGCTGACCTGCAGAGGGGTGCGTTTCCTGAAAGACTTTGGCGGGGGCGGAACCTGGGTGTGGGTGTGGCCTAGGGCGAAGTGGGCGGGGTCGACCTGCCCTGAGGAGCGGCGCAAAGTAAACCTGTTGCCCGGGAGTGGGTCGGGGAACCCCAAACGCCCAGGGAGGCGGCCTGGCGGGGGGCGTGGCGGTAGTCGGGAGGGCGGAGTCCACCTGCAGCGGGGAGGCGGGGTCTGGAGCAGGGGGCGGGGCCGGCCTGCGGCTGGGGCGGCGGTTGGTGACCGTTGGTGTGGCGGTTGGGAGGGCGGTCCCGGAGTCGGGGGCGGGGTCAGCCTTCTCCAGGCGGTGTACTAAGATGTAGAAAGAAAACGGCTGTCGCGCCAAGCTAAGATGAGCGACTGCTGAGTCGCGGTCCTTAGCGCGTCAAGAGACAGGCTGGGTCCCTGCGGGGCAGGAGAGGCGGAGAGAGACCCTGGGAACATCCTGGGTGGCCACACGTCGGTGCCCGAGTGAGGGGAGGAGCGGGCGGGCAGGTCTGGGGACGGGAGCTGCCGAGCTTCCGCGCTCTCGCTCCCAGCGGGGAGTCGGGGCAGCCGGCCAACGCGGGGCGAGGGGCGGCGCTGTCAGCCAGGGCGGCGCGCGGAGGGCCCACGTGGGTGACATTCTGACTGGACCGGGTCCCGGGACTGCGCGGGAGGAGGTTGTGGGCGGCGGGCGGAAGATTGGTTTCCAGATCTTCTGATGAGCGCGGTGGAGGGCGTTGGGCTGCGCCCTCCCGGGAGACACTCCGGACGTTTATTGTGGAACTGGGGCGGGCGGTGGTCTTCGTTTTGAGGAGGTCAACCACCTTTTTAATTCTTTTGCTTCAGAGTATGGCGGGACTCAGGATGGAAGTCACCAGGACACGGATTTAGATTTGACTGAATGTAAGCATTCAAGCGACGGAGGGTGGTCAACTCCCCTGTTCCCGGGATCAGGCGGCCGCTTGCCAGGGAGGGCTCGGGCTTATCGTGCCAAGAGCAAAGATTTGGAAATATGTCCCTCCCGATTCGCGGCTGGTCATTTAAAGCCTAAATGTCCTCATGTTTAAAATGTTACGAGTATTTTCCCTGCTGCCTCATGAATTGCAGAGGAGGTCGCATTCGGTAGCAGCACGTGAAAGTACTTTGCACAGTAAGGATAAGAACGGAGGATCATTGTTCATTCCCATTGCAGTGCTACTAAGGGGCTTTCCATACGCATTCTCATTTAATCCTCGCATCAGTTCTTTGCGGAAGGTATCATTATCATTATTATTAATTAGCCTCACTGTACAATCAAAGAGACAAGGGCTCAGAGAAATCAAGTAATGTCTCCAAGGTCCCACAGTAGAAAGGAACAGAGTCAGAGCTGGAGTTGTGGCTCAGCAGTGGAGCGCTCCCCTAGCATGAGCAAGGAAGGCCCTGGGTTCGATCCTCAGCGCCATATAAAAATAAATAAGTAACATAAAGGTATTTTGTGTCCAACTACAATTAAAAAAATACTTTTTTAAAAAAAGAAAGGAGCAGAATCAAAACTTGAATTTAAGGCAAGCCGATACCGGAGCCTATTTGTTCAATACTGTGCCCAAATATTGAGCCCAGTTGCTTAATACAAGCACCCAAATCCAACTCTTCTTTTGTTGTACTCAGCATATTAAAGATCCAACTTCTAATTTGGACAAGATATTGAATTGTGTTTCTTCTAAGTTCAAGAGTGAGACTATCTACTGATAACAATTCCACTAACAGGCTTTCATTATTACAGCTTGATTTCTCTGAGCCTTTACTTTTTAATCTACAAAAGAATTAACATGTAAATATCCCTTGAAAAAAGAACATGGAAACAAGTTGTGTGAGATGGTGTTAAACAATTTACCTCTCAACTGTGCTGCTCAAAATGTGGTGAATGGTCATTTTTTGGTGTTTTTTTTAAATTTTCTATTCATTGTGGTTAAATATTTTGTAAAAGATTTACTAGAAAAATGAAATGAAAAAAATACAAATCTAGATTTTTATTAAAGACTGCACAATGAAATGACATTTTAATAACTATCATTGGAATAACTGCAACAGAAAAATTAACATCAGTATACATTCACTGAAAGTATGTGTGGTTAATAGAATCCTATGTGGCAGAGTAGATTCTTAATATGCAGGACTTTTTCCATAGTTTCAGTAACATACTAGCTAAGGAACATTCAACACACCTAGCACCAACTCTCAATCCTGCACTCTAATGGAATGCAAAAGCATAATCAATAGTAAAGAGTTAATAATGACACACCTTTTAATCACTTCAGCAGAATAGAGGCAGTGCCTTCCTCTGTTTCTGTCTTGACAGCCCAGACCCCACCTGCGTGGAGGTAGAATGAAAATCCCAAACTCCCCCTAGGTAGATCAGGCTGCCTGGAGTTAATGTTATTGAACACCCAATGAATAAATCAATAGCAAAGGCACAAAGTGGACATGGAAAATCTATATGTGTGTTACCTCAGTCCATGTTTAGGACTCCAAAGCTTAGATTCAAAGGAGTAAGATTCTCTTTAATTATATAATACCCTGCAAGACAGTGATTAAATCTATGAAGTTTCCAGACACTGAAGTTATCTTTTTCCTAGATCAGAAATTGCATCTCTCTTTTGAATTTTGCAGGATTAATCTCTGACCTACTTTCATCTAATAGCAAACGGGGTTCCCATGGCTTATAGCTATTCACCAGACCCTTGCAAACAAAAATCTATTTGAAAATGAAAATCCATCTTTTTCAAATTTATGCCTTTGCAAATGAAAATCCACTTCTTCGCCTTTTAGCCTTTTGAGTCACATGGTAGCATGACCTCCCTTAAAATTTGCTAACTTAGTGCTGGGGGTGTAGCTCAGTAGTAGAGTGTTTGATGCCCAGCACCAGGATAAAAAAAAAAAAAAAAATTAGTAACCTAATGGCAGTTAAATGTCTAATTCATTCAGACCTCCATATCTTTTGTTTCTTTCTTTTTAAAAAAATTTCCAAGTTTATGAATTTTTAAAAATGTACACCAAATGATGAAAAATGATGTATATTGCAATTCCCTTTCTGAAACATTTTTAATTGTTAGAACTGGTGTGTGTGTGTGTGTGTGTGTGTGTGTGTAAGCCAGTGATATGGTTGAACATCCTACCATGCTGAGAGAATTCTTCACAAGAATCACCTGATCAATTGTGTTGAGAAAACATAATTTAGATGCATAGTTAAGTTCTCTCCTAGGATAAAATTTATGTGCATTTATTTATATAAATTGTGAATCTCTGATAATTTACCCACTGAAATTTGGTTGCTTTATGTTGAAGTATTTACTGAAGTCAATACACACGTTACAGTTTTCCTGTACAAAGTATATTTGTAAACTGTACACTTATAAATTAAAAGATATATATGTTTAAAGAAGGAGATGGAGATTATAATGGTAGTTCTGCAGTTTCCAGAACTTTGTGCTTAAGACTGCTTAGGACAACAAAAACACATTTAAACCAAATAGGCATCTGTATGACTGAAAAGTGGACTGAACAGAGTGTTCATGTGGATTGTGGATTGTGATCTTTTGGTGTACTTATTTTTTAGCTTTCATGCTGATCTCAACTTTGCCTTTGCTTGCATTTTTCATCCTCATAATCCCTCAGGCACAGCAAAACCTTCCCATCAGTTTCTTGTCTACTGAAAGCCTTTCCAAATAATGCCAACTTCTGAGCATCTGCCTCTTTTACAAATTGTATTACTGTATCCATAGACTGATGTGGAGATTCTTGGCAAAACCATATTTTCAGTACACTAAGGTCAGGTTCACTTATTCAACTAGGATTTCCATCTTCTCTTTATGTGGATTTTCCTGACTTCATGAAATGGTCCTTGGAAGACTCAATGACAGTTTTATTCAGAACTGTTTCCACATAGCTAAGTTAGCTGAAAAGAATTCCAATTGGTGGATATAAGAAGAATTTGTGGTTATTTTTCAGGAAAAGCTCAGAGAGTTTGCTGACTTACTAGCTTTTTCAGAAATCTTTTGCCTTTCAGGCATGTTAGATTCTATAAGCCAGGAGTCTGCTTCTGGCATGTATTTCTACTAGGAGATGCTTCAGTGGGAGAGGAACTACAAAAGGTGGAGGATTCTGGGTACATGGCTTTGCACTTTTGTTTTCTGGTATCTGCTTCTGCTGATTGACTTTTCTCAATGTTCTTAAGGAGTTGGACAGAATATTTTCCCCCAGCAGAGGAGGCAGCTACCACGTCTCCTCTATGGAGGAATTCAAGAACACTTCAGCTCAGAGGGCACAATTTTCATGGGGCTTGCAGGGCCTGCCAGAGCACCACAGCCATGGGGTCTGAATAGGCAACTGTTGGACTCTCTTCTGATTCAGGTAAGCACTGGTATCCCCTGGTTGTTTGCAGAGACAGATTACAGATGTAAACTGTAGTTAACTCAGCAATGTTATCCTTCACCAAATGGAAGAGTCTCTGTCCAACAACTTGACACAAATAGAGATGTAGGAGAACACAAAACTCTTTTCTTCTTTCCCTAATTTTGAGCCTCCTCAAGTATAAATAATGATTTTTTTTTTCAGGGAAGCATTTTCTAGAAACTTATCCTTCTTGGGGAGTGAAGTCTGTGAAGTGTTCCAACCTGTTCACCTGCTGTCCTGATGGCATAAGAGCAGTTCTCTACGGGATCTGCCTTGAACACTGCATCCATCACATGGGAAGAAATAGATTGTGGTTTTGCTAGACTTTCTGTAATAGGAATATTATTTCCTGATGGTTGTAAGACATCTGTCCAGGTACATTATCCAACTGGAAAAATATCTCAATAATCGTACTTGTAGCAATAGTCAAAATCTCCTCCCTAGCCATCAAATGTAATATGAGCTTTATGTCCTCTTGCACTGCCACAGATTGCCAGGCAGATCAGATAAGGATTCTTTCTGTTGCTTCATTTCATTCTCCTTTTAATGACTTAAGGTTGGCTTCTGTGATCCCTTCTTACAGAATGTTGAAGGTACTATTTCAGATCCATTTAGAGATCATAAAAGGAACTTTGGCCAAGATGATACACTCATCTGGAACCCCAAGGGGGCTGAAGTAATGACCTCCTTTTTACACTTCAAATTCCTAACGATTGTGTGTCCAAGGTTCAAGAGATCTACAAGCTTCCTAAAGTCATTTCCATTGTCACTATATCTAGTGCTAACTATATAAGCTGGCATATGTAATCCCAATAATCATAATTCATGTTGAAGTAATATTGTGACAGTAACATGCTTCCTTTCAAACAAACTGTGAGGTCTTTAGTTGGTGAAATTGTGGACTGACCAAATTACTGTGAAGGATCACAGAAAGATCCAGTCTCTCCCAGTAATTGTTCTACTGGAAATTGTCATTTTGCCCAGAGGATATTCTTCATTGTCATGCTTGACAGTATGGATCTTTTCCCCATGGGCTCCCTTTTTGGTGTTCTTTTCTCATGTGGCTACAATGGGTGGAGGTTATTTCCCCAGAGTCCAGTCAGCATGGGGACACAGGGCACTGCTACTGTATTTTAGAGCCCAGACCTAAGTTGTATGCTTTATAAAAGCATCCTTATTGGAGCATCATTGACATACAATAAACTGTGTATATTTAAATATACACTTTGATGTGTGTGTTTTTATGCCCTTGCAACCATCACTACATTCATGGTTATGAGCATAATAACCATCACTCCTCAAAGTTTCCTCATGTTGCTTCCAGTCTCTCCCTTCCAAGCTTCAAACACTTAACACATTGGTTCCAAAAGAAAGTCAGTAACCTCCCTTACCATATTAAAAACAAAGTTGGTATAATCTTGACCTCCATACCAAGGATGGAAATTTATAAAACAAGTATAAACCAGCTTTACTTTGGAGTCTAGATGTGAAAATCCTCAATAATATACAGGTTAATTGAATTCAGCAATTAGGCAAAAAAAAAAAAAAAATATGGCCTTGGCCTTGACGGCAACTTATACTCTTCTTTTTATTCTCCAATATGTCACATTTTTCACTGTCTTTGTTTCATTATTCCAGTTTTTTTTTTTTTTTTCAGTTTCCAACTTTGGTTGATACTCTGATTTTATGCTGACATTGTGGGCAGACTATTTTCTCATACATTCCTAGAGGGAAAATTTGTCCTGGATGAAGAAAGGATGCTAGTGGGTGGTGCTCACCCACATTTTAAAATGAAAGGAATGGAACAATGAAAGACATATTATTCAATCATGATTTGTCTAGGCCCTCCCATTTGTTCACCCTTGAATGGGTTTAGAGAAATGGAAGGGCTAAGTGTAACTTTGTGTCAAAGCTCCTGAAAATTAAGGTTACTCTTCAACCTAAAGCTAGGGCCCAACAAATAGTTTCTGTAAAAAGACTTAATTTTCCATATGGCTATCCATGCAGTGTAAGGGTCCGGTGAACGTCGGAGGAAGAGACCACCAAGAGACCGACTCATGCAACAGCAAAAGGGGGTTTGTTGAGGATCCAGCGCGCTGGGGCTCCGTGCTCACTCAAGAAGGGAGAGCGGCCCAGAGCCCCGGGCAGGGGTTGAGCAGTGCTTAAGTACACTTTTGGGGGAGGGCGGGGGCTTTGCATACATCAGAGCAAATCATCATGAGGCACGGGAAAATCAAACAACTCTCAAACATGATTAGCACATTCATTGGCGGGAACAGGTCGGGCAGGAGTGATAGGGCAGTCCTAAGGAGAGGGATACATTCAAACTGATTGGTTTGGGCCCTGAGATGCCTACGTGCCAAGCTGCACAGGGTCTAGGTTATTAAACAACTAAATGGTCAGGGGGAATATCTACTGGGCAGTCCCGGGAATTGTCCTAACAGCTACAGGAATTTCAGGTTTTGAGTGTAGCATAGGAACTTAACAATACCTGGTCCTTTACATTTTAACTCAGGCTTTGCAGCTTAGAAACTTTACAATACCCAGTCTTTTACACTTTAACTTCAATTTCTTTTACTCTTTCAGCAGCTGTATCCAACATGATTCATGATATTTAGGAATAATACATGACTCCATCTTAACACCCATTTATCAACCAATATTAAGTGTTGACTTAGCACCCAAATTAAATATTGAGGTGAAAATGCTAAATTTCTGGGTCAAGAAGTATATGTATTTTCATCTTAAAACATTATAAAATCAAAGGTTTAATTATGCTATAAGGGATATAATGCTATCAGAAGACTAAAAAGAAAGGTGTAATGAGATTTTGTGGAATGTGTGACAGTAGCACTCATGAAATAACAGCCAGCTTAAAAGTGCTTCCATTGTGGGATAGAACTATTAGGATGAGATGGATTGTGGAACATGACAGATCTAAACTGCTTTACCAAAACAAAGGGACCTGGTATGGATTAATGGGAAAGTCCATTAGTCAACTTTTTGTTACTACCAAAATACCTGAGACTATGTACAAAGAAAAGAGGTTTATTTAGCTTATGATTCTGGAAGTTCAAGAGGGAAGAGGTTAGTACTTCATGGAAAAGCAAAAATCTTATAAAGAAACAAGGAAAGAGGGAAGTGGTATAGCAAGTTACTAAAAAGTGGGAAAGCAGCATCTAAAAATAATAAATCAGGCTTTGGTATCCTGTGACCCAGAAGATCTGTTTGGTTCAGATTTCATTCTTGCAGATATTCAAGAACATTGTGCCTTGGGGCTGGGGATGTGGCTCAAGCGATAGCAGTGCTCGCCTGGCATGTGAGCGGTGCTGGGTTCGATCCTCAGCACCACAACAAATAAAGATATTGTGTCTGCCGAAAACTAAAAAATAAATATAAAAAAAAAAGAACATTGTGTCTTCCCTTAGGGAGAGCCCTCTCACCTGTGTCAAATCATGGTGGATGATAATTGTAGGGGCACATTCAGGGGCAGGCAAATACATCACCAAAAAGGAGAGCTGAGTGGAGCCTGGCTTGGCTTGAACTTTTTTTTTTTTGGTAATGGGGATCAAACCACTGAGTCATATCCCCAGCCCTATTTTGTACTTAAATGGAGTCTTGCTTAACACCTTGCTTTTGCTGAGGCTAGCTTTGAACTCTTGATCCTCCTGCCTCAGCCTTCCAAGCCACTGGAATTACAAGTGTGTGCCATTGCACCTGGCTGTCTTGGGATTTTATAATAATCCTCTGTGGAAATTACCAAAAGGTTGCATTGGAAATGTCTTATTTCCTTCAGAGGCCAGCACTCCCAATGACCCAAACTTCCCTACTTTTCTCAAAGTTCTTACCATTTCCACATCACCACACTGAAACAGTTGGGGTTTCTCTAAATTTGAGAGTGACTTCTACATGCTGAGAGTAAAGGCTACGTGGCTGCCTTCTTGGCCTGATGTGCTCCAAGCAAGCTGAGAGTAGAGACGGTGCCTGTCTAGCACAGGCTAAATAAATCTGCATATCTTCATTTTTCTGCCACTTGTCTCGCTTTGCCACCTGTTGAGAGCCACAGTTTAGTCGGAATGACGCCTGGCATTTTGCCAGAGGGAATGTTTTAAAGGTGACCCTGCTCTGGGAATAGGGTGGCTCAGGGATTAGGGCGGATCGTGCTGGGAATAGGGCGGATCCTGCTGCCTTGGGTGCCCACTACTTTGGAGTTCCCATGGAGTTCTCTCGGGGTTCTGTGAGAATTGGTGCGCGGAGCCCGGTGGAGGAAGGGTGTTCCTGGGAAGTGTGGGTAGAGTGCCGAGAATTTGGGAATAAAGAGCTGCTGTTTGAACCTACAAAGCTTTGTGGCGGCTCAATTATCTTGTGCCCAGCCAGACTGCGGCAGCCACCTCTTCTCTTTTAGAAGCCCTCCTTGCCCTTAGAGGATATGAAGGTGGAATGTTTAAAACAGAAAATTTCTTCTATCTTCCTTTAAATCTGCCTTTGAATATAACCTATTTTCTACCAATATTTCTGAAGCAGTGAATTGTGGAGTTTAGCTGACAAGTGTCACCCAGTAATAGGACCAAGCATAGCATAAGGGAAAAAGGACAAAATAGTTTGTGTCTGGTCACAGAGAACCCAACAGAATTACCTTATGCCCATTTCCAGGCAATCCCTTCTATAAGAGGCAAGACTGGCCTTTCTGATGTTTATGTCTATAGATTCATTTTTCCTATTGTTAAAGCAAAATTACTCACGTCTCTACTTGAAGATGGTGAGGAAGACTTTATGGGGGTGGGGGACTTCTATCATGCATGGGTTTTGCAGTTGGGGAGAGAGATTGGAGTCAACTCTGAATAAAAAAAGGACAACCAAGAATTTACAACCAAGGAGCAGGGTGGGGCTTGGTGGATGGGAAACACCTAGACAAGGAACTCAAGAGGAATATAGATGAAGGCAGGCCAAGATGATAAGATATAGGTAGAGAATGAGGAATTTGATCAAGTATCAATGGAGGGAATTTTTGCTAAACTGACCCAGCAGGATTTTAGCAAACCAAAACTGGCCTAAGTGGGTCAGGAGAGAGCCCAAGACGGGGACCTGAGCGCTTAGGGGCCTTAGGATGCCTTTTGCTAAAAGCAATCACTTCATTTAGGCCTGCAGGTACCCTGAGGGTAACTAAAAGCTTGACATCTCTGCCTCATTTTGTATCAGTCTTCATTATTATCTTAAACTTTGGGTTGATCTGCTAGCTCTGCACGTAGGCATGTTAATCATTTAAGGAGTGTTTATCTAAAAACTGGTAATATGAGGTTTATTAGTCCTAAATTTACCTAATCTATCTCATCCTCCTTCAAGACTGAGACAAGATTTGCAGACATTCGGCCAATTTTACAGCATCAGACCCTTCTAGGATTCACAATTGCTCCCTTCCAGGATCACAGGTCTGATAGCTAAACATCCTGAGCAACAAGTGCAAAGTGTCCCCTTTGAGTGATAGACTTCTCCAGCACCACCTCACAGATCCCAAAATGAAATAATAATCAAACAGAGCAGTTTGACCAAAACTGTTTAATTATGTAAACCTCTCACACATATCCAATTCCCTTGAACCCCCTACCACCTTCCCAATTCTTCCACCATTTAAACCTAGTACCCCTGAAGACAGGGCTGAATCTCACTTTGTTTTCCTAATATGGCCGTATCAATTAGTTCCTTTTCCTGCTTTTCATTATTTCTTTTTCTGTTTGTTTTTGGAGCAAGTGGAGGGACCTGTTTTGTTGGGAGCCCCACAGTCAGGCCACTGGTTCAGGACTCTAGTAACATTAGGCCAAGGACAGTATATATTCTTCCAAATTTGATTGTTGGCATGTAGGGAGTTTGGGA